TCTTAACAAAATCCTTGAAAATCAATAATTAATGAAGATTGGAAGAAGCATTATTATTCATCTATAGATTATTCTAGCAATAATACAATACCAGTTGTAAGAAAATATCTGCGTAAAATCCTAAAAGGATACCAAAACATTTATCTCGATTTAAAAGGTTATCGTGTTACTAGTAAACTTCAACAAATATGTTATTCATCATAAAACAACTAATTCTGAACAAAGAATGAAAACCAGTGTAAATAAGGTAGTTGAACAAGCATACACAATGACATAGCTCCATACGAAATCATGAACGACATTATTGTACTTTAATTGATGACAACTAAATACAAACGATAAGGAAAAATTGATGGGAATAATCCCAACTTTAACTTTATCCATCCTTCTCAAAATAATCCCAATTTTGAAGGATCCCAATATAATCCCAACTTTGCTTTGAATCTGCTCAAAATAGTCTAAATAACTGATAACCGGTTGTAAAAGTCTTAAAGTTAATATTTTTTTTTTTCCTTTAGATCTCTAATCTCTTCCTGACTTCATCTTCTTTATTCTTATCTCTCTTGCAACCGCCACCACCAGGTCCACCACCATTCGAACTCCATCTATGCCCCTAATCGGCTACCAGCACCCTCATTCCTACCGCCTTCCACCGTCACACCGCGCCACTGCTGCTCTTTCTCTCTCTTCCTTTTCTGTTTTTGTTTAAAATACAAAATTTGCAAGTCATGTTTTGAAATCAATCTCCTTGCTAAATATATATACTTCGTATAAAATTGTGACGAAATTAAATTAAATTTCTAACTTCGTTGTTTTTTTTTTTTTGAATGGGCAAATGTTTAGAATACTGAGTTGGAGTATTTGTGAATGTTGGAATGTGTATTGGTGATTTGCCTAATACCGGAGTACTATCTAGACATTGGTTCATTGATTATTGATACTTTAAATTAAAGGTTTTGTTAAAGGTTGAATGGGTTGTTGCAAATGCTTGTGAGTGAATTGCAGCTTTGAACTTTTGATGGGTAGAGGCGTGGATGGGTCAAGTGTTAGTGGTTTGGTTAATGTTGGGCTGTAGTTGTGGTTGTTTTGGAGGGCAGGCATGGTGCCGGTGGTGGACATTTGGTTAAGGACCATTTTGAGCTGATTCAACACAAAATTGGGATTATATTAGAATAATTTAAAATAGGAATTATTTTGAGAAAATTAGAAAAAGTTGGATTACTCCCATCAATTTTTCCAAATCATAATTTTAAATCTATCTGCTCCAAAATTATGCAAACTGTGTAGTAGTAAACAAACGGTGTTAAATTAACTTCAAACGAAAATCATGTTATTATGATTTATGATACAACTAAGAACTTCCCACGTGTATTCCATGCAATTTTGGAGAGAGAAAATAAAGTCAAGTAAACGCCAATGACCGGTCCACTGAATTTGGTCTTCCTTTTTTTTTAATAAAATCTCTAAAAAAAAAAAAGGAAAAAAAAAAAACTCAACTGAAAAATAAAAATTTCAAGCAAAAAGTTAATTTTTGACCTCCAAAATTAAAAAAGAATAATAGACTTTCGGCTTAGGTGAAACCGACCCAAAAGTGAACATTTAGTAGCCTAGCTATCTAGCTGTATAATTAAATATTTTTAATAATTAATAAATAGAATAAATAAAATAATAAATTGAATGGGGTGTATTTATTGTTTCATTAAAAACCTCCATTTTATTTTCCTTTGTTTTCATCATTATTAGGCAGTCGCATCACCAACTGTTTACACTCCAGTGGTTTTCATTCTTTTTGGTCACACTAGACTTAGCAATCCAGACTCAGACCCAATAACTCGACCCATGACTCGAAAATAACCCAAATACAATGATTCGAAATTGACCTGACTCGATCTATACCCAATCCGAAAATAGAGTTGACTCGATCCTGATTCAACACCCGAATTGACCCGACTCGAAATTTACTTGTATTGTTTGACCTGAACAAACTCGATACTCAAAATTGACCCAAACAGACCCAATACTCGAAATTTCCTGAACTAAAATTACCTTATAATTGAACTAAAAATGTATGGTGCAAAAAATAATTTAAATTGTTCATCTTCAACTGTAGCCACACTCATAAACCGAATTGATGTTCTTATTATAAGAATAATAAAATATAAAATTATTAATTTGAGCTAGATCCACAAATTAAATGGAACAACCTGACCTGATTTTGACCCAACCAGAATATGATCCGAACATAGTTGACCCGAAAATGACTTGACCTGATACCCGACCCGAGCCATATCCGAAACCCGAAATGGGCCGACCCGGCCCATACCCAACCCGAAATTGACCCAACCCGTACCCGACCCGAACGATCCATTTGCCAGGTCTAGGTCACACACACATTATTTTTTGTGAACTGCCACTTTCCTGTTTTCCTCATCTAAGGGTAAGGTACCAAATATCTTCCATTTGTGTTTACATTGCCAACCTATTTTAGGTGAGCCAGACTTATAATTATTTATTGTGATATATTCTTTGTACATACTTTGTACCATATATGGGCAACGGATATATTACTTATATATTCTTAGGAAAGGCGAAGAGCCATATGACCTTTAAGTTGTATGCGGAGTAGTCAATTATTGTAAGCATAAGAAATCCCGGTCTGAAAAGATTGGCGATCTACTACAACGTATGTCAATTTTTAATACATTCATTTTAAATTTATAATATGGGATAGAAGGAGTACGTGTTTAAGTAGTTAGTTTTAATAGAATTACACAAAGTATTTAACGAACTAAATTTAATCATCCAAATTGTAACTTGTGTGAATATAAGCTCAAATTCACAATTCGGAGTTAATTTTTTTTTTGGCAATTACACGTTATTATTGTGGATTGGATCCACATAGAAGACTTTTGAAACAAAATCACATTTTGAGTTCTTAGTTTTCTTACCTTGAGAAATGTTGGTTGTAATTAGTGATGAGATTGTAGTTTAAAATTTCTCCTTGTTTTGTTTCTTATTTAGGTGGTGTGCATTAGTAGCTCAAACAAAGAAAACCGTGTTGATATTTTGTACCATTGAATTTTGACTTTTTGCCAAATTGCTCAACTTTTTTTCGTTCGTAGCCTAATTGTTTCTATACTCATTTTCATGATTGTGTATTTCAAAAGGTGGACAAAATCTATCCTATCAAAAGAAAATTGAAAGTATATTGATGGACTTTCCGTTATATATCATGGTTCTTCCATTTTCATTGACAAAAGACAAGAATTTAGTGGATGGATTTTATGTATTCACATTGATATATACAGTTTTAAAGATTGTAAGTAGGGATGTAAAAATGACAATATTAAACATAATCAAGCATTAATTACATCGACTAAATTGTTTTTCCATGTATTTTTAAATTAATGTTGTATTAAAAATGTATTCAATGTACTTGTAAATCAAACTTTAGTGCTCTATATGTAACAACTATTAATAACTACTACCATCACAAGAAAAGTTTTGGTAAACAATATAAAAAGAGTTGTTCATATTTCAATTTAAATTAAAATAAAAAAGTATATACTCCATATTATATAAAGGAGATAATCTTATTGTATACGAAGTATCATAAGATTTTTTTAGACGTTACAAATAATATATTATTCACCAAAGACATGTTCAAACTATTTCGAATTGAAATGAATAAAAATGAAAAGTGCTTAATAATTTAAATCTAGTTGAAAGAAGTAATTATATTAATAATATCTAAGATCTTATAGAGTGTCTTATAATCTAGTAGACAATGGGTGTTTTAGTTGTATTAAGTCAAACTTTGGGTCAATTTTTTCATCAATCGATTTGTACTAGGATATACACAAAGTATGCATTGACTTTGAATTTTCTATGAATTTGAAGCCAATCCCCATAATTAACAAGATGCTTTACACATTATATATTAATTAAAAGTACCCCTTTAATTTCCTCAAAAAAAAAGTACCCCTTCTAATTGATTAATAATAGGAAATTAATTAGAAAGTTCAACCAAATATTAGACTATCTTCAGTCTTAAGTCAATTCAAAGAAGCAATGCAAAAGTAGTAGACAAGTTTGGCAAGTGAAAGACCATGTCTAAAACCCCAATTTGGAAATGAAATCAGCATTTATGAAGTGTTAATAAAAAGCAGCCAAACAAAAGAACAAAGAAAAGGAAGGGTTAAGTTGGATTGGGTGGCTGACATGAACCTGAAAAGCTCTCAATTTCATACTAGATGCATGAATATCTTTACCTACTTCCAAACCTACCATTGTTTTTTTGGGCTCATGCTCTATACCAATGCACATGATGTACTCACTTGCTTAAGCAAGCACAAGAAGTTCCTTCTAGAATTTCCCTTGACCTTTCTTTTGACATACGGAATACGAGAACATGATAATTTCAAAAACGCAACCTTTCGTATGAGGCTGTCTCACAATTAGCTCATGTCAAAACCATGTATTGATAATGACAATAATTTCTACGTGGCTTGAGGTGATTAGAGATTCTGAGTAATAAGGGCCAAATACATCTGAGGTTGACCTTGCAAGAGGTGTCCAACATGTAATTTTTTTTTTTTAAAGTACACAAAAGTTAAGACAGTCTTCTCTTGAGATTGAAAAAGATTGATTTGATGTAGCCATAGTCGACTTACACTGCGCTACATGTCATGCTCTTACAAAATTATTTAACCAATAGAATATGTAATAAATCCTAAACAACGAGACGTGAAACCTTAAAAAGTGTTAACATCTGTAGAAGCGAAGGCAATGCCTTCATATTGCAACTTCAAAAAGAGCAAAAAGAAATGTAAGTGATAGTCAAAGTGAGGAATCCCTCATCTTATTATTTTAATCATCTGTTCATGTAACAGAATATAATCTAATCTTATACTATATGTGCTCAACATATTTTATATATATATATATATATTTGAGGAAAATTAAGTGGATAAAAACATCAAAAAGAAATTAAATAATAAGGAGAGAGACCATAAACTTTTGCACTAAAGAATTTTTTTTAACCATCTTATAGTATCCCCTGTATTTGGTCTTCCCTCAACTGTATTTCTCCTAGAACAATTCCACAAAATATCCCGCCAAAAGACTAACTTTCAAGTATATATACATCTCTCCTACATACACCATAATTTTTACTGGGCATTAGATACCACCATGATTTGTCCCGGTAGCCAATCGCCAGGATTCCGGCTTTCGGATTCTTGATCTAGCTCAAGCCGAGCAACCACTTTACCCTCCCTGGTAGCCAATGAGGGCAATTTTGTTTTGAGCTGATTAATGCTTGGTGCCAAGGTCTTCTCTAACCAAGATTCTAATGTGGTTTGTCCTAACCAAATTCCACTTAGGATCTTTTCAAGGGCTTCCCTCTCAATCTTAGCTGTCAATGTTTCACCTATTGTAGATGAGAATTTTGATAAGATAGACCTTTCGATATTTTGTCTGATTGGTTTAAAGTCGACTGCTTTGAAGATGATAGCCTCATCTACTGAAGTTAGCAGCTCGTTGGGTGCTTCTGAAGAGGTTGTGGGAGATCCCCTGTTCTCGTGGCCATGCTCCTCCTCGTGATCAACTGTGAGGTCGCTCGAGTTATGGGATCCATCGAGCCGATCATCATCAGTATCAGCCATTTGATTGAGATCAAATGAATTTCCATGACCCATTTCCTCCTTCCTTTGCTTTGTTGACCTTTCCTGATCACCATCACTCAGCCAACTCGGTGATCTTTTCCCTGCATTGGTAACCTTTTCACCTATTGATATTTTCAACTGCCAACCACCACTTGCTAAGGAGGTCATCTTCTCTTCATCAAGTGTAACCACGCCATCGGATAAATTTCGCAGCCTTTCTGGCATCCAACATGATGTAACAATGAAAACGACATTACCAAGACTGATTTCACGGCCATGAGAATCGGAAATCCTTCCCCTTTCCATTGCCCGTTTGACATTCCCTCTGACTAGCATATCAGCCTCATCAATATCTTGCAGCATTATCACCGAAAATGGGTTTCTTCTAACCGCCTCTACGATTTTATCGATCACAGTTTTACCACGGAAATTAAACTCAGATTCATCACCATCACGTCTAGAGCCAAGAGAGATAGTAATAGGACCCACACCAGAAACAAGCTCCGATAAAGCAGCAGCCATCTTCTTCTTACCCATCCTATCAGGACCGGAGAATAGCAACCATATGTCACCTTTTGACCCTCCAACTCGACGTTTTCCATTTCCTAATCTACATTGTGTTACGGCAGCAGCTACAGCAGATGCCGCATCTGTCTGCCACCACACCTTGGCAATCAGACCTTTGAGCAGCCTCTTGAACGAGTCTACATCTTCAGGAATGGCAGATACAGGTTTGTCAGCTGATTCAGATGAAATGCAGCCGAGGAAGTCTTTAAGGCCATCCTTTTGGCCATCGTCTTGAGCTGTACCCATGGTCTTTGTTGGACCTAGAACAAGTTCTGTTCTCACCGGGCTCCCTGGTGTACTTGTGGGATTTCCCGAATTAAGTTGTTGAGCAACAGGAGAACTAAGATTGAGCTGCAGACCATCCCCAAGGCCTCCTCTGGGTTGTTGCTGTAATTTTGGTTGAAATGGTTGGCGCACAAGTAGATTCGGATTGTATAAGCCCGTCATTGAGAGGGGTGATGGAATGATTCTCTCAGAGCTCATATTATTGTGAAAACTAGGATGGAGCTGCAAACATGTCTCTCTCCATTTCTTCTGCAATTCTTGCATTTTCTGTTTCATTATCATATCTTGCTCCTTACACTGAAATTTACAAGAAACAATACTTAAATTTTCCAGTGAGTAAATTTAATTTAATACACCAAAGACTCCAAATTATATATGAACAGACCTGAAGTGTCTCATCACTATTCGATTTTGCATTCTGTAACCAAGGGGGTAACGACTGTCGAGTAGCATCCGATTTTACATCAGATGATTGCTTCTCTGTCTGCCCTGCAACTATATTTGCAAGTTCCTGGTCATACTTCTCTGTACACTGAGGGCAGCAGCTAAATCTTCTAGTAGGATCCACATTTTCAGAAACCCGCCTAGTAAAAGACGAAGCAGGCATCGGAAAGCCTTTCATCGGGCTTAAACACTCTACTGAGCTACTTAATATTCCTCCATTAGACCCCAACCTGCATACAAACATATTAAAAACGTTGATCATATGTTCAACAAAACTATTGTACTTTCATGGTACACACACATATACTATACTATATCCTATATTTCACAAAATTCTCACCATCAAAATGATGAACTATCAATAGTTGTATGACTAAAAAACAACAGAATCTTCATAACATAGGTGGACTAGTTTGAACCATTTTTTTTTTTTTTTTTTTTTTTTTGTTCTCAAGAAAATTCAACTCAAACTACAAGCATATCAAATAGAATTAGTCAATTTTAAAAAACAATTAGAATATTAAAAACATCAAATTAATATAAAAATTAAAAAGAGGGGGATGAAGATTATGTTACCTAGGCAACATCCCAGTAAGAGGGGGTCTAGCAACAATTGAAACAACCTGAAGATCCCATTCATTCTCCATTGCAGTATGATAAACTTGACATCTCAAATAAGTCTCACAAGTAGCTGTTCCAATAAACCAAATTTTACTCCCTTCGCCATATTTCCTTAGAATCTTCCCCATCTCTGTGACCGCCCCTCGAGCTGCCTCCGATACACCTTGACTAGCAGGCTGATCAACCAGCCATTTCAAGTCACCCAAATCAATTACCACCCCTTTTCCTCCTTTACAATTCACCATCATTTTCTTTTCAATCAATGCCCCCAATTCCATTAATTTGCTTCCCAATTGCGCACGATCCGACCCGAGCTCCTTCTCTACTGACATCACTTCCACCCCTTGCAACACCACGTCGCGTATTTCATCCTTCTCGATTCGTCTAATCACTTCCCTGACCACCTCCTCCGGCCCCGATTCGCCTACGAGAATCGGGTTCCGTTTCTTAGACCTTGACAAGATATCCATCACTCTTTTTACATCATCCCCTTTTCCTTGCAACTCATTCCCTTGCGGCTGTTGTAATCTAGGATTCAAGTACAAGTTCCTTTGTAGTACGGCACCCGGCGGAGATGGGCCGCCGGGTCCGGACCTGAAACCCAACCCAATTCTGGACCCGACACCACCGGGCCCAGAATTGGGTTGTGTGCTAACAACCTGCTCAATAGCAGCTTTAACCGCCGGGCTCGAAAACGAAGCCTCCCTCATAACCCGGCTTACACTAGGATCATCAAGTATCGAAATAATCAGCTGCTCCAACTCCACTTTTACCGCCAACAACGGCTGCTGCTGTTGCTCAGGACACCCCCTCCTTTGATGAGCTTGAGCCCGCTTTAAGGCCGCCATTAACGCATTCGATATCGGCGGCTCGTGAACTGATCCACTGGTACCATTACCACTGCTTTGCGCCGTCGGTAATCGCTCTAAAGCGACGCTAAAACAGAGCTCTAGAGCTCTGCACTGAAGTGGGTGTGAAGAATTGGGGTGAGAACGGATACAAGCTTGCCGGAGGAACCCGGTTGGAGAGGATAAAAGGGTGGCTGCCACGTGTAAAGGGGTGATTTGGCCGTGATTCCTCCGGCCAGCTTCGGCGATCGAGTGGCTTAATACACTCGCCGCCTCCGGCGTTAGGGTTTGTTGGATCGCGCTCAATCCGCCCCTCATCGGAATGATCTCCTCTCAAAATTCACTATAATTAACACAATTCGGAATCGAATCCGGTAATTATATAAATTTAGCAGTTTAATTTAGACAATTTATGGGGTGGTTCTTGAGAGTGGTAAGGGGGTAAGAGAAGAGAAAAAGATTGGAAGAGAAATGATATTAAGAATTGTAATAAACAACTTGTTATCTATCTATGTTTATGACCCACAAAATAGAAGGAAAGAAAGAGTGTGAAATAGCAAAATTAAAAACAAGTTGACGAAATTCACATTTTAGAGGCCCGGGACAAAATGATAAATGAAAATGTAATAATCAAGCTCAACGACACAAACCGACCCAGTAAATAAGAGAGAGGGAAAGAAAGACAGAAAAAACTTGGAAACTAAAATTCCTCCATCTACAGAACCCAACAAACGAACATCTAAAAGTAGGAGCTCAGCTTTTTTAAGCTCCACATTTTCTTTTTCTTTTTTTTTAAATAAAGGTGGGATTTATGAAGGCGTGAAAGAGTACATGTAAAAAGGAAAAAATAAATTAAAGGAGGGTTTTTTGGAAGGGAGATTTCAACGCGAAAGGGAAAGATCACATCACCTTCTTATTTTTTTTTTGACAAACACATCACTTTCTTTGCATAACTTAACTCAATAGAAATTTCTACTTTTTTATCTCTCTTTTTATTGGAGATATTCAATACTTTTTTTTTTCTTACTTAGCTTATTTTTTAATTCAAGTTTTTACTCCTTTCTTCTATTTGTATACCCTTTAAAAAAAACCAAGTAGTCTTAGCGTATAAATTTAATTATTGATACTTTTATTTTAAAATTATAACAATATTAATGTTTCAAAGATATATATTTATCGAGAATTACGCTATAAAAAGATCATGTTCTTATAAATATATTGATATTTCAAAGATAATATACACTACAGAGTATTTGACAACATATTAATAGTCAAGTTTTAGTGTGTAATAGTGCAAAATTCAATTTATCAATATAAAGCCTTTGCAATTATTCTAAAACAAAAAAAGCGCAAAGAATTACTATGTAAAATATCATGTTCTTTTAAACCTATTTATTGAAATGTAGATTTTGATGAATGAGTGTTATATAAAATATTTTACTTAAATAAATCTTATTAAAATTTATTGTAGTTGTGGATTGAATTTAGTTAACCCTTATTAAATTTATTTGAACATTGTTGAACATAAATTTTCAATTGGTGGAAATCATCACAAAATTATTCAAGGGCATGTATTGTAGTCTTCAACTTGGTTCAGACAACATAAGTTCAAATATACGGATAATAAATTCAAACAAGCTCAAATTTTAAACAAAATTTTTTTTTAGAATATATTCAGTTAAATCAAATAATTTAATCCTTTTTTCCCGATTGTTTGATTAACTAAATCTATTCTAACTTTAATTATCGGAGTAAAATTGAATGTTATAATCATATAATTACTAAAGATGGATTAAATGAATTATTCAACTTTTGATCACTAATCGATGTATTGAATATTCTTGTCTCATCTACAATTTAACTTTTCAATGAAAAAGAATTGAAATAAATTTGGTAAAATTATAATTATAGAAATGATGAAATCATGTTATACTTATACACACTCAAATATATCCTTTTTCGTTTCTTCTTACAAAATTTATAATCATTGTTGCTTGATGGGTAATACAAATAAGGATGTAAAAATAAATTACGCTAGAAAAAGAAATGTTTGGTGGCATTAGAATACGTGGATTAAAATTGTTTGTTTTCATTGATTGCGGAGAGAGAAAGTTGAAATTAATTTATTTTAAAATTTTAAATAAAAGTTTAATTATTTTAGGAGGAGAGAGAAAAAGTACTTTTTGGGGGTGCAAGGATTTCTGGGGAAAAAAGAAAGGAAAAAGCTATAGTTGATTGAGTGACATTAGAGATGATGAAGAGAGAGAAAGTAGCTTTTTAGAGAGATGAGAAAGGAAGAAGGAGTATCATCAAAGGGGATTTTGCCTTTTCTTTCTCTCTCTATGACTCATTTGACTATCCTTTTTATATTTACTCATTTGTCCTTAATTTAATTTCCTCACTCGCATACATGTTGCGTGTTGTTCACGCGCTTGAAGATAGGATAAGATTAGATATTTGACTATTTGGATAGATGGATACCTATATGCTTTTTATGTACATGAAACTTGTGTTTGTGGATTATTTTGTATTTTTGTATGTGATCTAATCTTGTTTATAAAGTTCTATATAATGATCTTTAATTGAACAAAAGAGAATACTTATAATGGTAATTTTTAGATTTCGATTTAAAGGCTATCAATCAATACCATTAACTATCATTATATGGAGCGATTTTTCAAGGACTATTTTTTTCTCTTTTGATTTATTCATTCATATATCGTTAAATTTTATAGATAAATAGGTGTTTTGACTAATACAGAGTATAACACCATATTATCCTACATGAACCTCAATCAATCTAGTAGTTAGCTTACCAAATGATATCAATCTTATTTGTCACTAATCATTTTGGAAATTAATATTGCTTATGAAAATCAGTTCATGCAACTTAAAACTTAAGTCATTCTTCAACAATGTTCATCCACTATGGACTATGAAGCATGTGTTTTAATCTGGAGGGACAAAAACTTCTATGATAAAGGGACAACGTTAACAATTTCTTTCTTTTAAAGATTAGATTGACTACTTCTAAAGTTCTAATGAATGAAATGATATTGATAATATTCCTATTTAATTGACATTTGAGTATTTGACACATAGTATTAAAGTTTTGATATATGTGTGTCTCTGGTTTTGATACCATATCAAACTTTTTACGAATTGATTTTCCTCGGCTCTAAATTAGGCTTAGCCCACAATACACGAGAGTTAGCCAAATAAAATTAAACGGATGCATGCTATTTGGGAAAGTGATAATTAACGAAATCAACAAATGATAAAATAGTTTGAACTGTAACAATTTAACTCTTTTTGTTATCGAGATAAATAAAGGGTGTAGTGTTATTTTACCCATGAACTATTATTTGAATCAAATAGCTAGCTTTTAAATATAATCAAACATGATCAACTCAGGTTAAATATACACGTAGTTAGACCTTTGTACTTTATGAAAAAAGAATGCAACTCAAGTCCCTAACGGGCTAACATGCCACTTTGGAGGGTGAGACAGGGGTGATTTTAGATTTGTATGAGTATCTATTGATTTGTAACTATTGTAATAGGTTGACTTGTTGTCTTTTTGCACTATTTATATGCTTACTTAGACTATAATTTTTAATATATATATTCCGTATAAAAAAAAAAAACATACGCAGTTATATATATCAATTTACAATTATCATGAAACAAAAGGAGTATGTAAACATTTAACTGATTTGTCCCACTAACATCCCTACTAATTATTCCATGCATTTCATATGCCAATAATCAGTGGACAAAACTAAGGTTTAGAAAATAAAGATCGCAAAAAAAGGAATTAGGAAAGTAATGATAAATAAGGAGTGAAAGTACACGGGGGTAAAAGAGTGTGGTGTAAAATGGAAATGAAAAGGGGTTTCAACCAATTTTCTGCTTTTCACACGCAACCTGCTGCAAAAGGCATCGCACGGCTTCCACCTTTTCATACTTACTCCAACCTTTTATCATTTTTATTTTTTAAGTGCTCACTTCAATTATTAGTATTTATTTTCTTAATTTTAACTACTCGTTTAATATTCTCTGCCACTTTTCAGAGCCACTCCCGCCTTTTGTTTTTTAATTTCGTTTCTTGTTTCCATCTATTTACTCCCATTATTTTTTTTTCTTTTTTTTAATAAATTCCTTTTAAAAGTAAGCTTTACATTTTGATTACACTGTAGTGTACACCCTGCTTGACATACACCTTTTCAAAATTATAAATTAATTAATAAATTCATTTGTTCTATTTTTTAAATACAAAATTTCAAATAAGTTGTCAACTATCTAGACAATTTACCCCTTTCGTATTTTAATAAATGTTACACTTTAACCGGCACATACTCTTAGGTAATTTAATTAATTTAAATAAAATAAGAGGTAAATGGGGTGCTTAGAGTATTAAAAAAGAAAGTGTAATACTCCTCGTGTGACTGATGAGGATTGAACCTTGCACCTGTAGGATGCGAGGAGATCTTTGGGCCACTATACCATGAGGTCTCTCTCCTACACAATTTAACTTGGTTTAGCTGGAAACAAATGATACGCAGAGTACCTATTATTCGTCCCTTTTTAATTGTAACGTAATTTTAGACCTTAAAGGTTTGTTTGGTTTGCATGGGAGAAAAATTCCTTTAGAGAATTATGTTACATGGAAAATTACTTACAATAACAAGAATATTTGTAATCTTGTTTCGATTATATTAAAGAGATTAAAATTCCTGTGAATTTTAATTGATCAAAAGGGGATAAGGTATTTTATTTCTCATATTTTGTGAGGTTCATGATTTTCTATTTTCACCTTTTGTTGTCAACCAAACAACCACCTCATTTTCATGAGTATGAGTTAAATTTAGTATTGATAAATTACATTAGCTATAAACCTTATGAGTAATGCTATATATACGTCGTTCATAAGAAAAATTCGAGTCGTGTCAATCTCTTGTGCTGGTCATTAAAAAAATGAAGCACATGCACAACTTATCGTGCATGTAGAGTCGTAGCACACAATAGGTTACGTCCCTTGGTAACTTATTTTATTAATCGATTAAAAGAAAGTGGGTTAGACTACCATGCTTATATCGACTCAAGTAGAGTTGATCATCAATGGCCCAGTTTGCTAGCTTGATTTGGCCCAACCCAAAAAAAAGTGAAGGTTAGGAAGCGTAAAGCTGTAAACACATATTTTTAGTTAAAATTTTGAACTTGGCCCCAAAAATCCGCTTTGGCTTGTCAAATCCAATATTTTTTTTTTTCGAGTTTGGGTATGATATTTTATGTGTAAGGCATGACTCGACTCGTATTTTGATCACCTTAAGGCTGTGTTACCTTTTGAAAATGATGCTCATGCACACTCATGAGGCCATGACCCGCAAGCGTGCTTTTGTCTCGTGTCCAGCTAGTATTGGGTCAGATCATTTTTGTGTTGACCTAGCCTATTCCTATCTCTCCCGCAAACCCAAATTGCATTTGAATGGGGATTAGAACTTAATAATTAAAGATTAATGGAGACTAGAAGTAACTTGGTCATTAGAGATTTCTATGTACTTCATTCGTCCCATAATATAATTTATGTTTGTGTTTTTTCATGGTATTTAAGAAATAGGAGGAGAAAGTGGAAGAAGTACGTTAATAAAAGTGAAAAGTATAATTATAGATAAAAGTTAGAGAGAAAAGGTGGAAAAAAGTACAAAGCATGTGCAAAATTTAAGGGTAATGTATGATGTACAATGAATAAAGTTAAAAAAAATGTGGATATAATGGTCTTTACATATTATTCAAAAATAGAAACAAGAACAACATTTTGACTTTTCAAAATAGAAAAATAGGAACTATATTATGGGACGGAAGATGTACAATATAAGTGTTATTTGAAACAAAAATACGCATTTAATCAATATAATTAATGTTATAATTTAAGAAGTAATTATCATTTTTCTAAATTAAAAAATGATTAATAGTTTAAGGAATACCTAAAGAGAGTAAAGCTAACTACCAAAAACGGTAAATGATGTCCTATCGATCGTAACTTTTTGGGAATCTTCACCTTTTTATATGTTCCTTTTTTTTATCATTCTCTTTTAAAATTTGATGTTTTTAAGAGTAAAAATGCACAGCTTTTAGAGAAACAAAAAAATGATGATCATATATTCCCTTTTGGTAACGCACGCCCTCGTTTCCCCTCCCTTGGCTTTTACGCGTATTTCGAGCCAACTTTCAATTCATCAAAATCACACTTTTTTACGACCATCTTTTCTCTCTTTCTTCGGTTCCCTAATCCACATACTTTTGTTACGTTCCCCTGCCTTGTGGCATGCTATGTACCTTCCCCATTTCTTCTCTTTAGCGCGTGGACTACTTTGCCGCTTTTTCAGCTGTCCTTTTCTTATTCGTTTTTTTTTAGGTTATGTTCGGCAATAATAGTTGTTACATTAGCAGTGTAGTAGGCCCTGTTCTTTTTATTTGCTGTGGTTTGCTCTGCTGAAATCTACTCTATTGAAGCCATGCTCTGCTCTGCTGAGTTTAAATAAGCTGCTCGACTCTGCTGACACCCATTTTGATCCGTTGACACCTGCTTTGCTCTGCAGTGCTTGCCTAAAAGCTCAAAAGAACATGGCCTATGGCTGTTAAAAATGATAACTGTGATTAGCTATTGTACTAGTATGAGTGCAAAGTAATTGGTAGAATGGCAGCCGTTCATTGCCAATTTGCCAAAAGTTTTTCGTAAATTACTGCATACTCGATATCCCCACTGTTTTTTTTAAATATTATAATTCAGATCTTGTTAGATCACATAAGAAAAAATAAGGTGAATCAAACCTAGCCTATAGCTTTGATCTCCACTAATTTATAAAAATAAGTTTCATAAATACAGTAATACTCCGATGTTTTCTTCCCATGACCAGTTATAAAAACATTTTAAACTTAATAGTAATTGAAAGGCTAAATTAGAAAAAAACACCTGTTAAAAGACCTAATTTTGTTTTTAACACCTTAAGATTTCGAAGTTTAATTATAACACCTGTTAAAAAATAAAAATTTTGCTTTCACCGCCTAAATTGGAACAACGGTAGAGGATCTGTTAGCTGGGCCCACAATAACGGCTATTTTTTCCAAACTGCTTTATATAGTTACGACATCCTTCACTAATGTAGAATTGTTGAGCTGATTACACAAAATTGCTTCACATTTTGCGAATTCTGACTAACAAATTGGCGAAATTGTTTGATTTTACTATCATTGTTTGGGGGGCGTAGATATCAAATCAGGTAATTGCGTCAATAGCACTTTAGAAACCCTAATTTATCTTTCAAAAATAAGGCGTAAATTAATCTATATGTTGTTGACTTAAATGCATAATTCAGGTCGTATCTGGCAATAGTCATGTAATTCGTAAATAGTTAGGGTTCATTGTGTGTTAATTGTGCTGTAATTTGCGAGAAAATGAAATTAGGGTTCATTGTAGAAATAATTTGGGGGTTTTGATTTGTAGGAGTGACTGTTTAATTCTCTTGGTTCAATTGTATTTTTTTCATAGTACGAATGGTTTTGCTTATTATGGATGGCAAATTGGTGCAGGAAATGTCTTCTACAAGTTTCTCACCTTCAAAGGAGAAGAAGTGCAAATGTGGTGTTCCCTTTGCAAAGCTTACCAGTTGGACAAGGGAGAACCCTGGTCGTAAGTTCAGAACATGCAAGTTCTACGATCCTGTAACTGAGAGCAGAGGTTGTAAAGCATTTGAATGGGTGGATGAACAAGATGGGACAGCCTGGCAAACAGAGGTGATCAACAATTTGTTGCTAGATAAGAAACTGTTGAAGGGGGAAATTAGTGATTACAAGAGGGAAGTTGATGATCTTGGTGGACAGTTGAGGTGCTTGCTGAATGAAGTGGACAGGCTGAAAATGAAATGCAAGGCTTTAAACTCTGACAGGAACAAGATGAACAGAGAGATGCATGGAAGGAATGCTAGATCAGATCACTCTGTTCTTAGTCTTGCTGTTGGGATTAGTTTGGTCATATTAGTGATCCTTCTTATTAGGGGGTTTGTAATGCATTAAGTATAACTTGTAATGCTAGTAATTGCATGAAACAGTAATATGGTAGTGTAATGATTTATAAGTGGCAGTGAACCACTATTGCAAGCAAACTAATGTACACAATTATGAAAGCAAAGAATTAAGTAAGTACCTAAGTAGTTGATATTGCATTTAAGTTGTTGATCAAATTTGTTGTTGCAGTGCCTAACAAAATTGGTTGGTAAAGCCTTACAGCAAAGTATTAATTTAACAAAACAGGATCCTTGTCCTATACCCAAAAGTAAAGCTACAAATATTGCAACTGATTGTTCAGAAAATACAACCAACAACTAAAGTTCAGAAAAACAATTCAAACATCATTGTGTCAGCCCTCCTTGTCTGGAAGTCAGCAGCTTAGCCCTCCTTGTCTGCACTCCAGTAGCATTGGGTTCAGGTTGGCTGGAAGAGGGGGTGGTGTGATGCTTGGCTTGTGGCTGCCCTTGTTGACTGTGTGAACCTTTCCTCTTACTCAATGGTTCACAGCCAGGTTGCTCTTGGGGAAAAGTCCTATTCCCAATGCTGTTTGGACCAGCCCCTATTGCACTCTGTTTATTAAACACAAATACCAATAAAAAAGTATCAACATCCAATTTCATCACAAATTTTAAAAGAAAAGTTACAAATCCAACAGCATACCTTCTTAGCAGCTTTGATCTCCCTCTTCTTCCTTTGCTCAACTACCCAAGGTGAATTTAAAGGAGGCCTTCCTGCAGTTCTCTGCTCAGTTGGTTCAGGTTCATGTGGGCCCTTGCAAGTCTTGGGATAGTGGCCAAATCCACCACAAATCCTACACTGACTTTTCCTCCTCTTTCTTCCCTGCTCCCCTCCTGTTGCAGATGTTCCCTCCCCAGGTTCCAGCTTCCTCTTCTTCTGTTTAGGTCTTCCAGGCTGCTGTTTGAATGCTGGTGGATGAGGCTCTCTCATGTTCACTCTCTCCCAATGCTTTGGGCCTGGCATAGGTTGAATTGCAGGCTCATATGCTGCTCTGTAAGTGTCCATAGTGTAATAGGGGTGGACAAACTGCTCAGCATCAACCCTCTGATCCATTATGCATGCAAATGCATGAATACATGGGATGCCTGTTAATTGCCAGTGATTGCAGGAACAAGACCAATTTGGCAAGTCAACTAGAACCTGGTCATCATTCAGCTGCACTTCATAAGTGTCATCCCTGGCAGCTTCAATTATGCAATTCCTAGCCACATAGCTCATCCTCTGAAATAGCTTATGCACATATGGAGTGATGTTGGTTGTGATTTTCTTGGAGTCCTCCCACTTCTCATTATTTCTCCTCATCATGTACCTCCTCATCCATTCCATTTGGGTGAGGATAGGTTTGTCTCTTGCATCTCTGATAACAGAGTTGAAAGTCTCACACATGTTGTTTAGTAACATGTTGGACCTGCAACTGTCACTGAATGCATGTCTGCACCAGTGATGAGTGGGGATGTTCTCCAAATAATTGTAAGCATCCTCATCAAGCTCCCTAATCTGTTGCATGGCTATCTGAAACTCAACCTACAACCACAACAGGAACATTATCATGAAAGAATAACATACACAACTGTTGTTGCTCTTATTTTGCTTTTATACACAACAGGAACATTATTACATGAAGTAGGTACATGAACAGGAACAATATCATGCATTTACTTATTCAAAATAATTTAAGGTCACCTAGAGACTTACAAATGTTGTTGCTCTTGCAGCACTCCAAAAGAGCTCTTTGAAAACTGATCCAGTGAACTTCAACTTGAAATTTGCCCAAATGTGCCTAACACAGAACCTAGTCTCTGCATTAGGCACAACTTCAGACAGAGCTTCAACCAGTCCCTGTTTAACATCATCAACAATTACTTGTCACACTTCAAACAATAAAGAACAGGACAGAAAATAAGACTACAATAATCAAAACAATATTACCTTCTGCCTGTCTGACATGAAGGTGAAGCCTGCCCCATCTGCACTTCCAATGCATTGCATCAAGGATTCCAGAAACCAGACCCAAGTCTCCCTGTTTTCAACCTCACAAGTTGCCCAAGCAATGGGGTAAATGCTGTTGTTCCCATCCTTGGAGACTGCAACTAAAATCTGGCCTGGATAACCTCCTTTCAAGTGGCAGCCATCCACCCCTATAATTGGCCTACAACCCTTCAAGAACCCATCCTTCAAAGGCCTTAAACAAATAAACATCCTCATAAACAAGGGAGGCTCAGGCTTTTCAATGCCATCAATCACAACATTACAACCAGACCCAGGGTTGTATTTCAGTACAGCCTTCCCATAATCCCATACCCTAGCATATTGCTCTCTTGCTGAACCAAAAATGATCAACTTAGCTCTACATCTTGCATCAAGGATTCCAGAAACCAGACCCAAGTCGGCCATTTTTCTACCTAATAAACAAATGCAAAGCAAATCAATAAAACCCAACATAGCTAACCCCATTACACAGTCAACCGCAATACTTTAATCAACAAAATCAAACATATTTAAACCAACACAATGACAAACCAGTCAACAGTCAATAAAATCAATGATTTAAACTAAATAATTCACACATTACACTAAATCATACTTAATTTAATCAAATTCAACTTTAATTACAAATTAACCCATTTTACTGTTCTTAGGGTTCCTAATTTTTTTTCCCAAATTACCCTACTACACCCACACAAATGGCATAATGCAGCACACAGTACTTGTTGAAAACTACCTTAAAGGGTTCGAAAGGTACCTGTATTGGAATCTTACTCCTGTTGCTGTCAGAATCCACGAAAAAGTCCAAGCTTTTTGGATGTTGGAAATGGCTGACGGAATCTCGCTGACTTGTTTCGCTCCAATATTGACACCTCCTCTTCCAACTCAATTTCTCAATCACAATAATCAGTATAGGGTTTGAATGTTCGCAGTAATTTTGGTTGTTCAAGATTTGCAGACGAAATTCAATGAAGCAAAATTAGTTGGGTGGTAATAAATGACAGAGAAGATAAATTCGAATTGAAGGGGATGGAATTTGGAGGGTAAACGACTATGTGGGCCCCACCAAAAAATTCCGTCACAGTTTCTGTTATCTGGTGGTGAAAGCAAAATTTTTATTTTTTAACAGGTGTTATAATTAAACTTCGAAATCTTAAGGTGTTAAAAACAAAATTAGGTCTTTTAACAGGTGTTATTTTCTAATTAAGCCTAATTGAAATTATCCCACATATACAGAAGATAGTATCTAATTGAAGTAGAAAATTTTATTATTGTATTTAACAAACAATTGCATAATAGATTTGAACTATTTGTTGCACGCAATGCATCTCATAATTAAACCATAATTCTCGGATAAATTAGTGTTCAATTTTGTGCTAATCCAATAATTATTAGATATAATCACCAAAAAAGAGCCCATAATACTATCCCCACGCTCCAAAAAGTCATTTAATCATTCCAAATTGAAATCATTCCAATTCTTTCCGTCATTTTGACTTTTGTCTTGTTTATCAATTAAGATTATCGTTTCTAGTTATTTTTTACCTGTTTGGTCTTTGGCAAGTAAAAATGTAAACTTTGCGAATATTGTCTTACCATTTGAAGTAAAACTTTTACAACTAAGTAAATAATAAGTGGAAGTAGTGGATTATATTGTTTTTAAAATTGAACCACCAATTGCTACGTACGTAATTACGTATTAACAACATATTAACATTGATCAATACTCTCCCTCCACAACCTAATTAGTAGTCACAGTATGCAAGCCCCGCTGCCCCATGCCAACATGCCTCATACTCAAGCGGGTCGTGCCTAGAACAAACTATAAAGAAATTATGTCATATTGATCTTTCATAAACAATGCCATGCATAGCCCTACTCATGTGTTGTGTCAATGGGTCTCTATGCATCTTTTATATATATTTTTCTATATTGGCCACAAATAAGCAAGGTAACACATGCACAAACCGACTTGTTGAGATTGGGCCGGGTTCATGCCATATTTCAAAGATGATGTCCATGCATAAGCCCATAACCCATAGACGTGCCTCTCATGCCGTATCGGATCCGTGTTCTGATCATTTTACGCCAGATCATTTATCATAATATATTTGACCGATTCTTATGTATGTCAACCCGATCCGTGTCCAACTCTACATATATAAACATCATCATTTCAAACGTTTTTCACCGTTGTTTTTTTTTTTTTCTTCCATCCTCCACCACCATCACAAAAAGTATACATGAACATACAAACTCATGCAAGTCACGGTTTAAAAAAGCCAAGTTAATTTAAAATGATGTTCCATTAGAGTAAGAGACCATTGTCGGCGCATAAATTCAAAAATAATTTTGGTTGATAAAAAGGTTCATCTTAAAGTCTAATTGATAGAATATATGATGATACAAAAGAAGACTCATACATATATAGTTATATCTTTTCACTAGTGCAAGCCAAAGATCCAACTTAAATTTGTGCTATTTATATTATTCATTCACTTATAATATATGAATGTTATACAATCATGTCACTTTGGGTCAAACTTTAAGCAAAGATATGACAACAAACACTAACACAGCTGGGATAAATTAAAAAGGTTTTGGTAGCTTCTTTCACTTAAAAGCAAATATATATTTGAGAACTTCTATCTTTATAAACATCACTTTGCCTAACTCACTCATTTCCATCAAAAAGTAAGGTCCCTTTCCCTTTTATTTTCCCTAACTTATTAAAGCTTTTAGATTAGAGCAAGAAAAAGGACTAAAGGTACCTTTTCTTTAATTATTATTAGTATGTGTGTAATAGCAAGGCACTAATTAGGCAAAAGGTGCTAGCTATTGGCTCTCCACTTAATTTTTTTTTTAAAAATTGAGAGGAAAAAAATTATATTATTATCATGGAAAAGGAGATCTATGATGCTTCATGAGAAAGATATAATGAGATCTTATCGGAGAGAATTGAGTGCAAATTATTCTTTCTTTCTAAGGTTTCATTATGCTTGTATTTGATATTATTAAAACATTTGTAGAGACGAATAAAACAAAACCAAATATGATTATAATTTTTTCTTATACATTGGTAATTATTACAAGATTCACTTAAATTGTAAATTGTTACTTCGATTTTAAACATGAAAGTTTTTCGAGACAAAAATTTAATTATCATAGAAGTGCCATTATTCTGGCCAACATATGTAAATGTAATTTCTTTTTTAAAAAAATTGTTATTGTTAGCAACATTAAGTTATAATAAACTCAATTAAACAAAACAAATACAATTATAAGTTTTATTATGTTCAAATTACTTGGAAAATATATGGAAAGGATGAAGTTTTATATTTTAGTATTAATTGATTTAAATTCTTTTTTTTTTTAATTTGTTTTTTACTTGGATGAACTTTCTTTTATATAAGCAAGCAGGTTAATTTTTCTCTCATTTTTTGAGTCGGTGCCTAGGGTTTCTAGGGTTTCTTCATTGTTCTTGGTGGGTTTATACTTTTTCCTTCTTTAATTCCACCAATCTTTTTCCTTTGTCTCTTGGTTTTACTAATCAGTGTTGTTTTTTAAACAACCAATCAATCCTTTAAGTTTTTTTTTTTTTAATTTTATTTTTCTAAGTCTTGTGTATTGTTTTTCTTAGTGTTCAAGGCTAAGTTCTTGAGCTGTCCCACTTCTAAGCTTACTCATCCACAATTCCCTTCTTCCATTCTACACGTGGAGTGCATGCAATTAGATTAGTGTCTCAAGACTTCCAAGAGGATAATTTGTAAATTTTGGTTTTACCAAGCCAGAATTCACTTTCTTTCTTTCACTAGTAGAAACAATGAATTAGGCACCGCACCTTTCACACCGGTTCTTGAAAACCGGTGGCAAAAGAAATGCGCGGGATAAGCTAATGACTTTTCGCACCAGTTCCTATTAAACCGGTGCGAAATCATCTTTTTCGCACTGGTTCAAACCGGTGCAAATTACAAACGAAAAAAAGGGAGAAAAGGGATTTGGAATCGGTTCTAACCAAAACCGGTGCGAAATGTTAAAAAAAAACCGGTTTAAGGCTTTCTTTCTTCTTCTTTCTTTTTCCCCCTGCTTTCCCTCTTCGTTCTGCTCTTCTCTTTCAATTCCCTCCTATTTTCGCATCTCCTGCTCTTCCTCCCAGCTTTCCCTCTCTGTTTTCGTATCTCCCTCTCGTTTTCGCATCTCCTTCTGCATTCCATTGAAGCAGCTCACTCTCTCTCCATTGAATTGGTTTACGCGCTTTCTCACT